AAAGGGAACCCGCTAAACCCGGAGAGCCCAATACCCCTTAATTCAGGAATATACCTTAAATCATAATATTAAGGCCCTGATTATTGAGGTATATTCCGTTCCTTATTTAAGGGGTACTGGGCTCTCTGGATAGAAACCCCAAAGACTTGAAGAACCCTTCAGGATCGGCGACGAAAGGTCGGTCTCCTCCTGTCACAAAGCGCCGACCTCAGGCTGTTTTGGGGGCCCATTTTGGGGCCTCTGGGGCTCTTTTGGGCAGGTAGGGTTTAGGGTTTAGGGTTTAGGGCTTAGGTAGGGCTCGAGGGATTCTATTCGATGAGTTTTCGGCGGAAGGAGCGGGGTAATAGAGCTGAATAATACGACAAGATGGAATTCTCTCCGCCAGAAAGGTGCTATAATTTCGATGAAGTGCCTTAGCCGGACGGCCCAGAAGCCCCTTGTCTTTGCTTTCCCTCGTCTGAGTTTGGGCTCCTAATTTTGAGTTCCACAGGATTTGCAAAAGCCAGTACACTGAGCCCTCAAACCCGAAACCTTACGAGACCTGATACCAGCAACTGCCGTACACCCCAACAGCCCGAAACTCTTGGCATCAAACGGCCAGCTCCTCAGGCCTTGACTCTTAGGGGTACATGACAAGCCATGAACCTTCAAGCTCCGAAGCCCAGAAGGCACACTGAAAGCCACGGAACAAGCACACACGGAGCTCCCATAATCCCCAAACGAATCCCAAAGGCTAATATCGTAACCCTAGAAGTAGTTATCTTGTAACCACTCACGGGCAACAGCGAAGCCCCGCCTCAGGCAAATCCCCTAGGCCCGACTGCCCTTGCCAGCCTCCACTAAACTCCTAAACTCCTAAACCCTATAAGCCCTAAACCCTATATAAGCCCCTCCAGGATGGTGGAAGAAGGCCCTATTAAAAAACAAAAAACCCATAAGCCCTAAACCTGCAGCCCCCAAGGATCCCTACGAGAACCTTTATTTGGTGGTGAGCGGGGAGATCCTTGGACTTAGACGAGGTCCTTTTCAGGGGCACTTCAGGGCTTCTAGAAAAAGGGTCCGCCTCTTGAAGGGGTACTAAAGGGTTCTATAATATAACAGGGTCCCCGTGATAAGGGCTTGCGGTTCGGTGTTTAGAAGAATTGGATTTGCTCAAGGGGTCTATGTTTTCACAGATGACCGGGTTCATGACGAGTTCTTTCGGCTTGTTTTTATTTTATAAGTCTCTCCGACTTTCCTCTTTGGCTCTTTGGCTTAGTTGCTGAATCGCCGGCTCAGTACAACAAGAGGAACAACAGTTTGATCGTTTTCATGTCGTGCTTGACCTAGATTGAATTCTGCATAAAGCCCTGCTCTTGATGCAGAAGTTCGAGCGACAGCCGCACGTGACGTGCAACCTCTTGCCAGGTCCGGTTGTGTGGGGAGGTCAGGGTTGCCATGGGCAGTGGCGGGAGCAGGTGCTTTGGTTCCTACTTCAAAGCAAAACATCTGAGGAAGCTCTTCACTCTCATGCCACCGGCAAGCGCACCTTTTCTGTGCCTCGGTGCAGAGTGCCCCCGAGAAAGCACAGGGCTCGGAAGTTAAGTGTAAAACAAATTTTGGCTGGTCCAGTAGGTAGGGGCATGAGAAGGATTTGGGTGAGCCCGTGATGCGGACAAGTCGCAATTGCTTGGAGCTGGAAGCTTCTTACGAGGGAGATTTGTGTCTAAGACTTCCCTTCTCTGCTGTTGCCCTTGTAGCTTAAGACGGTCGATCCTAGTCAATTGCCACAGTGGCCTACAGCATGTGAAGGCAATGATTTAGGGAATAGGCGGGGAAAACGGGCAAAACTTGGAATTGTGTGCCCTATGTGGTGAAGACTGTCAGCGTGCTTCATTCTAATGTCAGCAGCTGTGCCATGTGATTCCAACCCCCCATGAGAAGCCAGTGAAGTAGAACGCAGTTCAGACACTTCCAGAATCGAATGGAACCCCTGCGTTAAGACCCAGATTCTGCCAGTGCAGTCTGGTGTAGAGGCACGAGCAGCTATGTTCCCCTGCGTCCCTCGTGCGACAGCCAGATGGGATGCCTGGGCTGCAAAGAGCGTTTAACGATTTTGATGGAGCGCTAATCAATCACTAACCTACACAGTATATACCACTAGTGCTGACAGTTTAAGTTTTCTCCAAAGCCCGCGAGGAAACTCCAGCCAATCCTAGACGATGCTCCTCGAGTGCCCTGGACTCACGGACTGCAAGCGGAGTTGATTTTTGTCTCCGGTGTTTTAGGTGCTAGTTTATGTAGACTTTGAGCAGTCCCTTCCAGGAGCTGAGCATCTCAGGGTGTTGCATGCCGGCTTTTCTGTGGTTCAGGGTATAGGGTACTTTGCTAGAACAAGCGCTTCACGTGAGATCGATTGAGCTTACGTTGTCGACTGCTCTCTCTCTCTCTCTCCCGCTCGCTCTCTTCGTCTGTCTGGGTTGGTTCCAATCCAGCGTGTAGCTGCTTCAACAAAACGAACTGTTGCTGGGGTTAGACGCTGTATTCTAGGTCGTAGTATCAGCGAACCCCTGTGTGGAAATGCCAGGATTCCCTTCGACGTTGCCGGTGAGGTGGATGCTGCCAAGCTTCTTGCTCTGTCGGTATAGCAGAAACCACAAACTATATTATCATATTATCATATATAAGCTCTGGGCTTATGCATACGGGGTCGCAGGCCTTCAGCTGCGGTCTTCTCTCAGAAACTTCTTTGAAGTTGTGTTTGCTGCTCCCTTCAACTGCCATCGCAAGTTTGGTGTGGCAGCCGTCACATCGACCCGGAATCCCAGACAGGGCTCCCTTGGCGCTCTCCGCGCGACCCGTATATGTCCCTAAACCCTATAAACCTTAAACCCCTACACCCTAAACTGGCATCCTGATCTGTCATCCAGCTTTGGATGTTCCAGGATTCCGGTTGAGAGTTGCGGCTTTGAGGCATATGACGTGCAGCCCTAGGACAGGCTGCCGAAGTCGGTGAGATCTTCGGGGGTTGAAAGATACATCATACAAGATGAAGTGGGGTGGAAAAAACCCTAAAAACACCGATCCAAGAGCTTTAGTCTCAGCCCAGCCCTGCACCAGAGGTCTTTTTTTGCACAGCAGACGAAGAAACGACTGGGTCCGTAGAAAGCTTGCCTAGGTTTCCCTTGTACGCCCGCTTCCGGCAGCACTTGGCGGTGGAGGCATGGCGCTTAAAATTGGAGACCCCATAGTTGCTCCCGAGCCAGGTACGACATATAGTAGGCAAGCAAACGATGCATCTGTGTATGGGTAAGGGCGTATGCCTACGTGTATCCGTATGAGTGGGTTTCTGCAGCGCTTAGGAATGTTTCTACTCATGTCAGCTTACGCTCAAAATGCGGGTGTGCACACCGATGCGTAGAGGCCTTTGGGCAGTTGTTGTGGTTGGGGTCTCGGGGTGGGTTAGTATGGTTGGTTCGACTGGTGTGAACATGGGGGCCCAAACAACTCCTGAAGCCCAAGACCCCAAACCGCAGGAGCATGAGCTAACACAGCATCAAAGCATCAATAAACCGTGAGCCCGCCGCGGCCCGAGAATCGAAAGCCTTTTCAGGTCGCTGTGGGCCCCGGCGAGCTTTTGCAGCTCTGTCGGCATTGTTGTTGGAGCTTCTTACTTAAGGTTGAAGGATCTGCATAGGTTTTACCGTGGTTTTACATCCTTTACTATCGCTTGGCGACGATATTCGGTCACTTTTTTTCCAGTCGCGCGCTACCTGTCCAAGCTGAGTATATCCAACGTGTTAAGGGATCAGAGCTCTCAGGGTTCAGGGTGTTCAGGTTTGGAGTCAAACTTTTGAGTTTGGGCCTGGAGGTTTGGTACCTGCATACAGAGCATCATCGATTGCAGAATCTATCCCATGTTTTTTGACATTCATCTTGTAGTACAGTGTAGGTATCCCGTCAGGTACACAGAGGTAATGTTAAACTTTGTGACTTTATGGTACGGCACGGTACTGTGGAGCATAAGTGCATTTTGATTTGCAACGCGTGTGGAAGGTCTATGGTGCCGAGGACTTTGCATAAACGGTAACCTGATTAGGAGCATGGCTACGCTGCCAAACCCCAGTAAAAGCTAATTTGGCTTGTACCAGGTACCTGCCGGCCATGTGGTACCATCGTACTTTGGCGGCAACATACAAAAGCGGGCCTCTTCCCGAAGCGATGTGCCAGGGTAGTAGAGTCTTAGTACGTGTCACGGCCGAGGCGTGGCGCAACGAGGTATTACCATCGCTGTGAACTACTGGCATGATATGCAGATCGGCCATGGGTACGTTCATCACCAGTTGATACGCGATCTGTTCGGTCTCGATGCGGAGGCCTCCGACTCCGAGGAGAGCTCCGACTGATTCTGATGGTGGCTCCTATGGAAAGATCCTGTGCCTGTGCAGGGATGGGCAGCTGGAGAGATGAGCAGCCCGGACTATTGGCAAAAAGTGTGTTACGCCTTGACTTCATGCACGGCAGCGAGCCTTCACGAGTGCTTCTACTGCCTGCAGTTCGTGCACTTGCATTGAGCCACGAGCTGGGCCTTCCTCCTGAACACACCTTTGCCAGAGTGTGGCTTCTGAACAACTCGTCTGGACAAAGTGTTAACATCTCGCGGATGACGTGAGTGCGGAGGTGCTTGTACGGTGGCCCTGTTGAGCTCAACCGGCCTATATACCTGTCGGAGCGAAGAGCATCGTGGCTTGCGACGACTGGCACCTCCACGCCATGCTGCGGGTATAGCAGATTGTAGAGCGAAGGGCCTATCATTCTAGTATTTTGCGTTCGACGACTCGAGACTCCTAGAAACAGAACTGAAGGCCTCCGCAGATTTGGTGTTCGAGTGATTGGCAGATTCTGTCGAACAAAAAGCCATGCACTACGGCTCAGCTGGCCCACACAAGCGGCAGAGACTTGCATGGGCCCATATTGCGATGCAACGGAAGCGCAGACACGAGCAAGATCACGCCTGCCAGGTGATCTCGACCTATGCCGTCCGTGGCAAAGAGAAGAAAGGCCGGACTTGCCGGTTGTCCTGAGGACTTCGGTTCGAATGTCGTTCTAGCCGTCGCAAGGTTAGCACTTGGAGATTTGCGGTTTTTGCCAGGCTCCCACAATTCAGGCTTCAACGGCCAAGAGCAGCAGGATTACAGTTGATCACCACGACTTCTTCCAGCTGAGTTTTTTCGCCCGCTAGTTTCCAGTGGCCCTCAAAGCATCGCGGCTGTTCTAAGCTAGAGTCCTTGTTCTAGACTTGGCGCTGCTGCCCGTATGTCCCCACGGTGATCCCCACAGATCTTGGACATCTCAAGGCACAGGCCGCTTTCAACTCTTCGAGGACGCACCCGTGTGGGAGTAGCAGCTTTAGGTTTAAACTTCATAGGCTGAGCCTCCAATCCCAAGGCAAAGCCACGAAAAGTGGCTTTTTGAAGTCTATCTCCGTCGAAAAACGCCAAAGCGAACAGAGTCGCAGAGCCGTTTGTTTTGATTTTGGGAAGTGTCGCCCAGAATAACTGGTTTAAGGTTTAGGGTTTGGGGTACATGAACTTTACCTACCACCTACCACTGGATCTCCCAAGATCAGAGGGATTGCTGGATGGCCGTGCCTGTTACGCCGCCGAAGCTTTTCCGCCTCTGTGACATAGACGGAGGCTGTTAGTAAACCCGCCAGCAGCAGGGGGTTTTCCATGTAGGCCTAAATCCACAACCTTGCAAGGCTTCAGGAAGCCGTTAAGGGTTGTATATAGGGTACTGCAATATCTTCTACCTTTAAGGGTAGTATAGGGTACTTGTCTAGGGTCCCCTTTGAGAGCATCGTGCTGGCATACGCAGGCATTTGCTGCGCACATCCCTCGACCCTCTAAACCTCCATATAAACCTCCCGGACCTCTTGTCGCTGCAGACCTTGCCAGGCTTGTCCGAGTGTGAGTGTCAAACCCAGAGAGTCGAGAGCCCAATACCCCTTATTTCTTAAATCACAATATTAAGGCCGCTATAACCTTAATTAAGGGGTATTGGGCCCTCTGGGAAGAACCTCCCGGCAGGATGCCAAGAAGCGCGGCTACGGCGGTCGCTCCGCAGGAGCTAAGCTCCGGCGTCACAACGCCCGAGATCTCAGTCTCAGGAAGTTGTTGTCGGGCTTCTTGCAGCTGTTGAGAAGGGATTTTTTGGCAGGGGCTCTAGCCCATAGTTCGATGAGTTTTGAAAGTATGCGCGCCCTCTTGGCAAGAACCCCCCTCAAATGACTGTAGTTAGCCATCATATACAGTTCTGAAATGCAGGCAAAGCGTTTCTTCGAGAAGATCAACAGCAAGCGCCAGCCCCAGAAGAGGCTGAACTGAGGGTCTCAGCACGACGTTCCCTCGGGAGGTGTTGACGGATGTCATGGCTATTTTTTGCCCATGGTGGGAAGGGCGGGGGGTGTCGATTGAAAACGAAGAAACCAGGTGCGTCACACTTTCAGTCACTGCTGGCGCTCTCTTAGGCGTGCATCCTTGGAGTGCTACTACATCCTTGTTCTTTAGCCAAAGGCCAGGCGGCTAACCAATCTTGACCCGCAACATGACTGCGATTCATTATCACTTCATCACACAACAACGCCAATGGAACTCCAGACATATCACATCCCTTACCCTTGTATACACCGGCTCGTGTGTCATGGTTCTGACTTGGTTTCTCTTGAGCCTTAAGCCAGGAAACCTTGATCGAGAAGTACCGTCCGGTTGGTGTCCTGGCAGGACAATAAAAACTGAAGCCTACGATTGTTCAGGCTCCAACCTACACACACACACACCCAACCGCAGACGGTTAGAGACGATGCATGGTATCCTGGAAGCGTCGCAAGACAAGGCCCTATCACAATGCCCAAAGCCCCAAGCCATCACACAGAGCCGTGCATTTTAGACCTGACGAAACCCCAGAGCCCTGAATCCAATTGGGTATGTATAAGCCTAGCCCACCCTCGCCCCAAAACCTGAAACCGCCACGACTCGGCCCAGGATTCGAAACTGGAAACGTTCGATCCCAAAGCCATTTTTTATCTCCTAAACCCCTAAACCTTAAAAAGGCTAGACCCCGAACCCATCTAGCTAGGTTCGATGAGTGGGGTGACTGTCTCAGACCCGTCTTCGAGACTGACGTGCCAGAGCTTTCAGTTTAAGTCCAAGCTGAGCTACCGGATGCTGTTTTGTCTCTTTGCGGGGTGCCAAGAAAAACCGGTGAAGGTTCGGTTGGTATGAACGACTGTGCCAAAAGCGCAGCTCATTTCCGGGTTGAGTGTTTGGGGGTGTTCTGCTTGAAGGTTCAGGGTCCGGGCTGCGTCTTTGAGTTGAGGGCTCTTGAAGGGTGTCTGGAACGGCCAAAAACCATTGCAAGATCCTGATAGAACCGTATAAGCCCCAATCACCAAACAAGTCCTGGACTCAACCACAAAAAACAGGGACTTCATTTAGGGATTTTCTGCTATATGGTGTCGATGGCGAAGCAGCTCCCTGCGCCTTTCGTCCTTGTGATTCACGGAGGAGACGAGAAAGCACACGCAAGGTGTACTGTGCGATAGTGGTATCAGGAAACGTCTTTCTCTAGGTGACTCGGCAGACAGACTACAGTCCGCAAACTAAGAATTCATAGGTTCCACACCCTAATGAAGCTTCAAATGCTAAATCCTGAACCCTGAAACGCCCAAACTCGTCCGTGCCAGCTTCCAGCTTACCGTGTTTGGGTTAAGGCTTCAGGCTTTGGGGTTTATGTAAGTGTAGGAATCGAGGAGTCCAGAAAGCTATATGGCTGCAGGGGGTGTCAGAAAGGGCGGGCTCACCGGTTTCAGTGGCCCCTTCCTCTGAGCTCGAACCGACCTGGTTGGGGGTTTTCGAAGCGTTATCCACACGGCCATGAACCGCAGCATGGGGGAGTTCTTCGAATTAGGGTCCCCTTTTAGGTCCTCCCAGATAGTACGGCACCACCTTATAAAAAGGACCCTGACTTTAGAGAACGACCCATGAACCGAGAAAGGCCTTGAGCTTCGCCGGCTTTGGAAGGAAGATCCCGAGGCAGAGGCATCGGAAGACTCTGACTCATCTGGGTCCATCTTTGGTACACGTCCGAGAAGCAAAGCCGACTGTTTCATATAGAGTAGTTACCAAGATCATATCCTAGGTTTCCAGATACATGTTCAAATCGAATACACCGTGCCCCACAGCCCTACACTAGCAGTAGCGGTTATAAGGCCCTGGGACTGGATGGGACTGGTTTTTCTGATCGGCAGGTTCAGGTTTCAGTGATTGATGCTCTGGTTGCTTCCGGGGCTTAGGGGGAACGCTGGCAGGGAGCCTTGGCAAGGAGTAAATAGAGGGGCCTGAGAATAAGAATTATCTATATGATTTTTTGGGGGTTCCTTATTGTAGCTATAGTATAGTATCCACCAAACCCTATTCTAATTATTAAGGCCCCTACATTAGGCATGGTGCTGAAGCGATCAGCCACCTCATTTTGATGTTGCGGCCGCTTCAAAGCGAAGGCAAGCAGCAAGCATCATGGAGCATCTCGAGCTTTTAGGTAAAAAAGGTGCCTTGATTACCTGTCCTATTTTGGGGTTCCTTATTATAATTATAGTATAATATTCTGAATATAAAGGGCCCTACATTGTCAGCCAACAGCCAACAGCCAACAGCAGTAGCGGTAGCCGCAGCATGTCAAGCTGCATAGTAATCCGCAGAAGAAACTTCAACACCTGCTTCGTACAGGAAGAATCAGGACGACAGCGGGCATTTCCACAATACAGTTCCGAATGTAGGAAAGCAGCGAGACCCAACAGCCGCAGAGACCACAGTTGAGATCACTGGCCAGGGCGCGGTGAGAGGATGGCCGCCCACTGCCGATCGGCCCTCAGTGCTTACGGGTCCCCAACCCGGGAGGCCCTTTAAAACCCTATAAACCCTGTGGACCGGAGACAGAAGAACTTGAGACTGAAGAGCGGAAGTGCTCAAGTCTCCAAACTGCGGCACTCGCCTGTGCAGTGGACAGTTTTTTTTTTTGAGCTGAGGCTTCAAAACCCTACTACTTATGACGCGCATCGCAGCCGTTTCGAAGCATGCCAGGTGTTTTTTGCAGGCGATCTTCGATTGCGGCGGATGCTCTTGGCAGGGGCCTCGTTCCTTCCGTAGTGAGGTTTGGGATTTCGGGCTTTAGAATATTTTAGTGTTCTGAATTTAGGGTTTTTGGGGTTCTGGCCGGACTTAGGGTTTGGGTCGTTTGTCATCAAGGTGCTACCGGTGTATGTCTGCACTGGCCGACCCTACACTTTTCCAATATTCCAAGACGTCTGTGATGCAGTTTGTCAGCCTAATTGAATCGAGCTGTCAAGCATCCGTGTTCTTTATGCAGATGACCAGGAATTTGAGTCTTTCAACAATGCTCACCCAACAGGTCCCGCAACTGTGATTTTGGTAGTGCTGTAGTACATGTTCTGCTTATCACAACCTTCCACCCCTAAGTCGATGCATTGCACGAAGGACTGCAAGAATCCGAAATGTCCGCTGCCGAGCGTCCTGCCGGCCTTGTTTGTCAGCTTCGGTGTGTTGAGGAGAACACCTCCCACTGAACTCCAAGCAAGGTTTTCTTCTTGTTCGATGATGTCAGCTAGGGCATTTCATTATGCGATTGAGATTTCCTAGCTTTTCCTTTGCACTCTCCGAGCCTGTGCCTTCTTGATTGAAGCCTGTGGCGATGGCGGGAAGGCTCCTGTCAAATTCCTCAAATTTTAGCCTATTCAACAGTCTCTATAATTCCGAAACCATCACAACTGAGTCTCGTTGGCATGCATAACTTCTCCTTTGGCACGCCGCAGACCCTGACAGTCAGACAGCTACCCTACGAGGCACTTGTGCATAAGTGCAGTGAGAGCTTCCCTCTTGCTTAAAGGGTCGTAACACCTACACCCAACACTGAGTCGACAGCTGTACCACTCCTGTCGGGTCATGAAGTAGCAACATGGCAGCGCCACAGCTGAGCCGACAGAATAAAAGGGGCCTTGCGATAACAGTAACAATAACAGTTCTCAGATGCGTCAAGGTCCATACAAATCAGCTAAAACCCTAGCCTAGCTGTTCAGGCCTCTATATCAGGCCGGGGTGATGAGCCAGGAGGCCTTTAGGCGCCATGTGGCTTTCGAAGTGTGCCCCGAGTGCTTCCGACAAGGAGTCTGGCTGCTTACAACGATGTGTCGAGGTCCAACGCCCTGCCCAGCGCCAGTCGAAGCCGCAGCCGGTACAGGAGAACTTCAATCATCATGGAAGTGATCATCCTGCTAGCAGGCAAAGCCCGTCAGAGACACAAGGCACGAGAGCCATGTCGGAGCTGTAACGAGCACATTCTGAGGAGTCGGAGTTTGGAGTTCCACGTTCTGACATGTTTTTTTTAGAGGTGGGCGGGTTGTGACATGTGATTGTTCTGACCAGCAGTGATGACATTGAGATGACCGTGCACGTCGTCGATGCTTGCGGCTGGATCCATGCTTGTATCCGCATGCCTTGTAAACGACGTGCTACTGACTAGTGTGTAGCTTCTAGGTATGAGCTCAATTCACAGGATCTTTGCCAAGTAGTGCAGATAAGTAGAAAGAGAGACAGACAGAGAGCCCCTTAGGGGTTGGGGGTCCTTGACCGGACGGTTGTATTCGCGTTGCTGCCGACGCCTCCAAAGCCCCACCCAAAAATGGGGGGCCCTAAGGGCTGGGGGGACTAACATGCCCCTCTAACCCGAAGGAAGAAGAGAGATCCCGAAGGAGGAAGAAGAAGAGAGAGAGGGTCGTTGACCCAGACCCCAAGCAAGCAAGCAAGCGAGAGAGAGAGAGAGATACGGAAGTAGAGAGCTAGGTAGATCGTGGGTAGGTCAATAGGTCGTCAGATCGTCAATCAAGATATCGCCCTTTTGGCAGACGGACTACAAGCAAGATCGATGAGATAGAGCAATGATGGAGATAGAGAGATGTGGCTGGCGGGTCACATGTGCAGATGCACCATCGTGAGTCAATGCATCCTCTGATTCTCAAACCCTGGAGGGTCTTACAAACTGACTTATTTCAAACCAAGCCGCTACACTTGAACCGAACGTCAAGAGTTTTTGTGCCTATCAGGCAAAGCAGTGACGGACGGACTGCCGTCAGTTTCGGCATCTATGAAGACGGAGCAAAGCGTGACACCGTCAGCGGAGCCGGATCCATCCTTTAACCTTCTCCCATCTCTTTCCAGCAAAGAGAGTGAGGCAGAAGTGCTCAATGACTTGGAGGCTGCCATAGAAGTGCAATCTGGAGACACCTGGAAAGTCTTATACCCCGGCAGGAGCTTAACAGTCCGCGGTGACGAGTCGGTCAAAGTCCGATTGCGGGAGGTCCCGCACATTTCTGGAACCTGCTCTGTGTCGGGTGCTGCGCTTCACGCAGCACGCAGCTTCGGTGAGAAGTTCGGCTCCGACGCAAAGCAGTGGATGCAAAAGGAGAGGAGGGAAGCCCTTCTTGAATCAAGCCAGCGGCGCAGACGACAAGAGCAATTAGAGGCAGTGGTGGCGCAGATGCAAACTTCGGGTGGCCGTTCCAGCCTGCGTGGGCGGTTCGCAATGTACATCGCGATTGCCATTCCCATTCTTGTCGCCCTTATGCTCGTTTGTGCAGTTCTGCAACCGGCAGACTCTAGACAGGGTGTACTTATCAGCGCAGTGGCTGTAATCTTACTTCTCGGCATCAACACAGGCAATGCCCGTCTTTGGCTGATTGCCGAGGGGGCTTCAGCTCCTATCCACGCTGTCTTCAAGTACTCCCACTCTTGCAAAGAGCCGCGCCTTCGAGTCTGCATCTTAGTGTCATGGTGCATCGCAGCCCTGAGCTTGCTGGTCACAACCATCAACCACCTGACCCTGGGACTGTGGCAAGGTGCACTTGTCATCTGGCCGGGGGTTTTCTGCTGCATCGTCGGCATGTATATGTGCTATGACGGCACTGTCAAACAGCTCGCAATTTCGGCGCCTCCCCCTGGGAAGTCGAAGCGGAAACTCGGGGGGCGGACCCTCCTTTTCGAGGGACGAGTCCTTCCTGGACAGGCCTGCATTTGTTCCTGGCCTGGGAGATTCTGAGTAGCACCTTGGGATGGCTGTTTACTTCTTTTGTTTTATAGATAAAGACACTTGCTGTGAAGCTACCACCCAGGATATGAGTCTGCGTTTGAAAAGCTGGTAGCTAACTCAGACCTTGGTGCTGCCACGGTGTTCTTGCCAGAGTGCGCGGCATCTTATGGCAAGCACAGTACAATTCCACGCAGTGAGCAGTTGGATGGCGAGTGTTGGTGCATCCCACTCTATGGTACCAAAAAATCCTGGGGATGCAAGTGGTGGACTGCTTGGACCGCCAATGTTGAGAAAGCCACCCGCCAGGGAGCCGAGCTGCAGGTGGTCTTTTGGAAGAACCGCTGTGGCCAAGGCAAGGTACGGAGCTTCGCCACTGTCGGTGCGGAAAACCTCCGCCGCGATGCTTTGGAGGAAGCTCGAGCCTGACTTCGGAAAGTTCTGTGTCAAGGGTTGAATCAAACTCCAACCACCTAGACCTAGCAACATCTCAGAAGAAAGAAAGAAAGTCTTCCGTGACCCCAGCGTCATCAGCCAGGAAAGGAGGCTCAGCTACTTCAGATCCCCGGCTTTCCAGGAGGCCCTGGCCGCAGGCCTGGAGGGTCTCTCGAAGGATCTGGGGGAAGATGGCACCTCACAGTACCTGGGTCCTTGTTGGATACAATTTTACATGTTTGTTATAATGAAACCCTAACAAGGATTAAAAATGATCATGTTTAATATGGCCCCAACAGGGAGCCAGGTACAGCCGCGAGGCAGATCGCCTCTTTCTGGCCTCCCTCTCCGGAGAGGATCGAGGCTTCCTGCAAGCTTCCGAGGGTCTCGGGATCTCCCAGAAAGCAGAAGTTGCCTGGCTAGAGAGGAAGGGCTACCAGTACACAGAGCGCGAGGTCTAACGGCCCCCCTTTGGGGGCGGTAGAATATCGGGTTATGGGCTCTCCTTGAGGGTCAGAGACGGGGTTGTAGACGCATGGTGACGGCTTCTTCACTGTGGAGCCATGCGGCGATGAACGTGGCAAGACTAAGTCTTAAGTTTCACTGGATCGCAAGGCAAAGGCCTCGATGAAGACACATAAAGACCAACAGCAGGTGCAGAGTGTCTGACTCTCACTCGAACATACAATCACGCATGCATTTCTTGTCCCCTGCTGCCAGCTGCCTGCTGCTCCCCAGCCTGTTATTCTTCAGCTGTTGAAACGTAACAGCATCTTGTGGGAGAGCACCGCCTCCTTTCGCAGGTATCAGCTGCAGAAGCGAAAACGAGCGCGCCCTAGGAATCGAACTAGGATTGGGGACGTGGTCAAAATTATAAAATTATGCAGGGCTTTACTTAAGGGTTCTGTAAGTTCTGCAAGGGTTCCAATGCATAGATCGGGAGGACGGTGCGCAGAAGTTGTGCTGGGCTGCTGGGCGAAATCTAATCTAAGCCTTTATTGAGCTTGTTTGAGTTGGGGTCTATCGTCGAGGGTTTAGGTCCAAAGCTGCATAGGTTTCCGCGCGTCCCAACGAAGTTCAGGCAACGGGCGATGCATGCACCTGGCTCGGTTCTGGAGGCGTGGCAAAAAGGGGAGATCCCGGCTGCAGCAGACTGGAACGGCCAAATCCAAAGGCAGACTCCCAAACTCTATAAGGTCTACACAAAGCCGTAGTTTTTGACTGTTGAAAGTTGGAAGCCCATATTGCAACTTGGAGCTCTCCGAGGGGTCTAATGTGCCTCTGCAGATAGTGCAACAAAGTTGAGGATTCAGGGCTGGTACCATGCTCTTGAAGTATATCAGCGCTGTAAGCTTGCCTGTTATTACACATTATCATAGGATCCCTTTGCCAGCCCGTCACCTTGCATGTCTCCGAGCCTCCACAAAACACAGAAAAGCTGTGAAGCCCGCCTATACTAAACCCTTGTAGTAGCCCCTTGTAGCCCTCCAGGAACCCTATTGTCGGTCTCAAGCGCTCTGTTTCATGCCAGGACACGAAGCTATGGATCAAAGTCCCCGCTCCCTTCTCCGAAGCGGAGCCTTCTCTCGAGGCGGCTTGCGACTTTGGGTGAGCCTCTATATTGGCTTAGGGATGTTTCGGGTTTAGGTTTAGGGGTTTAGGGTGTAAGGTTATGGACGTCTTTAAAGGTTCCATGCGGATTGAAAAGGACTTAGGCTTGAATTAGAAGGCGTGTCCTCCCACCTCCTCCTTCAGTTCAAGCGCTTCAGATTCCCGTGCCGGGGGGGGGGTTCTTCAGGGTTCGGGCCTCCGTCTGTAGACCTGGGAAGCTAGCCCCTCTGGCCCTGAGGGTTTAAGGCTGATTCCCCTACTAACCTTAAACCCTAAACCCCTAAACCCTAAACTCTGGAGGTCTAGGGGTTTGGTTCTTCCATGTTGAGCACGACGGAAGACCTGAAGGTCTACTCGCACAGGACGGAGACATCAACCTTTGTTCAGAGCTCAGGGCTTATTAACTTAAAGCTTAGTGTATAGAATGGGTATATAGGAACTCGAAACGGGATACTAGTTACGCCTATCCAGACCTCTCTCTCTCTCTATATATATATGTATATATATATACAACTTCCAGAATGCTAATGCTAAGCCAGTGATATCCGACAAAGCCTTGCGAAACCCTCAATCCAAAGAAAAACCGAGCTTCTGTCAGGCGCTCCAGAAGACGGCCGAGTTCCTTTGCTCCGGGGAGGTGGCCACGGTGGAGCCCCATGCTGCGCCGGAGATGGGCGAAAAAAGGGACGTGTAGAAGCCAGAAGATCAAGAAAAACCATAAGCTTAGCATAAACTTTCTTCTTCTGTGCATCGATTGTTGTTATGACTATTACTGTAGTATGAGTAACTCTGTGCCTTGTTGGGATGTCCTGCACATATGATGGTGTTCGGGAAGGTTTTAGGGTAAGGAAAATCTCGAAGTCTCAGAAATCTGAGTTACCTATTTGAAGGGGGTCCTTGCGATCTTTTGCAGTTCTATATCAGGGCCCCCTGTTTTTTGAACCACCCCCCACCCCCCCCTTCCCATTTTGTTGGGTTTGGGAGACGGCGTGTTTTGTGAATCTGATGGCTCGTGAATTGTGCACGATGGGCCGTGAATTGTGCAGCTAGCATGCGGCGCTTACATGTATAGTGAATAGCCCTAAACTTAACTTGGCCCTAAACTCTAAACTCTAAACCCTATAGACCGTTTAGAGACGGACAGTAGTTGGCCGTCGCTGGCAACCCCTGGGCTTTGGATCGACGCTGGGGATTCGCAGCAGCGCCAGGTAAATGCGTTGAGCCTCTGTGAGCTTCGGATGGCCCTTTGGGGCCCTGGGTGTCGGATTTAGGGTTTATAGGGTTTCGGATTTAGGGTTTAGGATTTAGGGTTTGGGGTTCAGGGGTTTACGGTTTAGGGTTTTACTTTAAGTTGTTGCTTCGAAAGTAGGGCGGAGCAGGCACTGAAGACATGTGTCAGGTTTTTCGGGTCACAATCAGGATCATGTTTCAATTGGGTGGGAAGTGCTCATGTGCATATAAGTTCACTGACGGCAAAAGGTTCGCGTACTCGTCAGTTTCGATTTGTCACATGAAGCACGTTCGTAGCTGACAGATCAGAAGTGCCTCCTGCAGTGTTTGGTGTCCACCGCACAGCCTCGAATGCTGCAAAAGGAGAAGCTCTAGTTCTGTTTTCCATGTGCAACATGACAAACATTAAAAGAGTTCCACGCATCCTCGGCCGAAGCTTTGCCGACAAACAAGGAGGCAATACGAGTTGTTGATCGTTTAGGCTTGTGGTTTGGGACATTTGCGGGCTGAAATGCTCTTTTGGTAGTCCTAGAGAGCCCAATACCCCCTCATTGAAGGAATATACCTTAAATCATATAATATTAAGGCCCCTATACTTTAGGGTATATTCCTGAACTTAGTTAAGGGGTATTGGGCTCTTTGGTTTGGGGTCCTACAGCCTGGTCCTACAGCTGGACGAACCCATGGCATGGAGCGTGCCAGCCTTGGGCTTGGCACACAGCACTGACTGCTGTCAGATTAAATGCATCCCCCCTTCTATGCTGCACAGCATCGGAGCCCTATAGTCGCCCAAACACCACCATAGCACATTCCTGAACTGTCATGGCCCCCAAACTGTGCCTCTGAAGCACGAAACTATATAGGAACTAGCGCTGGAACCTCGCCTTTGAAGTCTGGTGCAACTGCAGGGGGCCGCGGCTTCCAGGAGGCACTCGTCTGCTGCTTTGCGTTCTGTGTTCCGGTACTGCCTTTCAGTTTAGAGCCGCTTTGCTGGTACTGCAGCTTCTTGTTTGCTTCGCCAGCGCAGCCGTTGTGACTCCTCAGGCTGTCGTAGCTGCTCCTAGCCTGGCATGACGATGCTACAGCTTGCGCTGTTGGGATCCTTATGCATTCCTGCTGCCGGTTCAGAGGATTGCCACGATCAGGCGCAAGTTGGGCTTATGCAGCTGAAGACATCGAGAGCCTTCGACTTGGACAGGGAAGCCCAAGTGTCGTCCTGGGGTAAGTCTTCCCCCAAGACACCAGCGCCAAGCACCCAAGGGGCAACACCTGCTGACACAGTGCGTCAGTTCTGCAATGCCACGGGCCTTCTGGACATGCACGGTGCCTTGCAGAACGGGGGGGATGCCGCTCAGTCGTCAATGGAGGAAATCGTGCTTCAGTCCGTTGCGCAAAGCGTCGAGGTCAACAACGTTGACAAGGTGGCAAAAGACATGCCTGACTCTGTTTTTTGGCATTTGGCTCGACAGGAGCTGGCCGCGGACCTTCTGGAGGCTGTTGTAGACAAGCAAAAACATGTAGAGCAGGCCATCGCGGAGCTGTACCAAACCTATAAGTTCGTGCCATTGCTTTGCTCTAACAACATCAATGTCTTCGATGAGAAGGACCCCCAGGACCACACTTACTTCAAAGCCTTCGAGGGGCGAATATCAAGACTGATGAAGTGGCTTGATAAGCATGGGAATGGTACTGTCGCACAAAAACTTGCATCGGCGGATGAGATCTTCTGTGGTTCCGCAAACATGAACGAGCCCTCATGCGGCCGCAAGCAGAAGTTTGACGAGTGGATGAACCGCATGACAAGCGGCTTCGGTTCCTGGCAGTGGGATGCCGCGAGCAGCGAGGAAAAGTGGAGTGCAATGGCCTCGATCTTCGCTTCATTCGGGAGCGATGCACCAGGTACGCCTGACTGGACAAAGGACATGAAGACCTGGAAGACGACTTTCCCTTACCACAGCTTCGTCAGCAAGCAGTCCGGCATGCCCTCGGCTTCATCGCCTTCCTCGAAGCAGCGCTTCCTCGCTTGCTTCGGAAAGCGTGTCGCAAGCGAGCTCCATCGCCGGCCTTCCGGACGGTATGTGCTGACCGATCAGAACAACTTGGGCTGCCATGGGTTCTGGGATGCGGAGGAGCTCACCGACATGCTGGAGAGAACCGTGGCATTGTGGCGGCCTCCGACGTGCCAGATGGCACTCATGACTTATGACATCAAGCGCAAGATCTTGCTAATGTATTCCCAGATGAGTAAGACCTTGTTCAAAGCTCTGCCTTCCATGGTGAACGACGAGGAGTTGAGCGAACGAGGTCTCTTGACCTCCGCAGTCGAAGGTCCAGGGCCCTTCGACCCTAGCCAGGTCATTGAAAATGCTGTTCACTATGTTGATGGCATGCGAGTGAAGGCCAAAGCGGCTTTGCGCTGGCCAGTGGGCTGTGAGCCAAGCTGGTTCACAAGCACAAATGCCTGCGAATTGGAGGTGGAAGAGGGAGAGTATGGCACTGTACAGAACACCCAGGGCAAGTTAGCCGTGGTGTGGGATCAGGATGAGAAATCGCAGCGAAGACTCGTCCGAGCAAAGGATCTTGCTGTGGTTCCTCGCGGCTGGGGACCATCAAAGACTCTCTCCTCAAGAGCTTGGGACATGGTGTCGGGCATCGGCAGTAGCATCTCCAGCACTGCCGAAAGCTTGGTTGCCTCTTTGTATAGCCCTCGACAGACAAGATTGGCGCAGTTGTTCAGCGGCTCCGTGTCCAAGTGGATCGTGTGCCCCATTCGAAACGATGCCGACTTGGAGGCCTTGGACAGCCAGCTTGGCGTCGAAGATCCGGCGATGCAGGACCGGCAGTACCGCTTTAAAGGAGCCACTAAGCTATAGGGTATAAGGATACATATAGTGCTTCATGGCGTTTGTAATCACTGAGCGCTGTGGTCTACATCTGATTCCGGATACCTTGTTCTTGTGATGCCTGCATACACCGCTCGTCGATATGCTCAGCCCTGAAGCCTCGGAGGACCTTCAGGAAGAGGCCTACTCTTCCTGGACAGGTCATTCCGCAGCTGTTTCCGGCCAAAGCTGCACTACTCCGAGTTTCGATGCGGCGCAATTCCCGAAGAGCCAGAGCTGTGAAATCTCTGAGTTGCACTCTGCGCCTTGGTTGCTCAGCCTTCTTTCTGTCCGAGTGGAAACACCAGGGCCCCTCGAGGCAGACGGGTTGCGCAGCAGGGCTCTCAATCTACCGAGGCAGGGATTGCCGTGCAGGGGAGTGTTCATGGACCTCAGACGTTATAAAGGGATGCTGGAATGATAGCAATGACAACTGCAGTACGTTGCTTAACATTCGTGGTCCCAAGAGACGTCCAAGGATCATCCCGAAAAATACACTCAGAATGGAGTTGCAGAGCCTTTCCTCTGCCCGGCGAAAGCCCTTCTCCCCGCCAGCGAGCAACTGGATGTATTGCTAGCGAAACGTGGACAATGCTTTCTTCACATGACTTCAGAGCAACTCCGACACTACCAGTGGATGCACAACGGCGATTTTCCGGCAAGGAGGCAGTATGACCGGAAGCCGAACCTTCCTCGAGTTGAGTATGAGCTTATCAAGCTACTCCGTGTCCCACAAAGCGGCGCCGGTGAAGTCTCCTATGCAAGAAGCTGCAGCCCGGAGGCGATGCAACGAAGCCCTCGTTTCTGTCGCGCGACGCGATTCCACAACAAGTGGGCGACCTTGACAGAGATTGCGAGCATTCTCGGCTCTGCAGCTGTTGGGTCCGTGGCAATGGGCACAGCCTCTATCACCATGACACTCAGCTCTTACGGACAAATATTGAGTAAAGAAGGTTCCGCGGGCGAGAAGATAAAGGAGTCTGCGACTTATCTTGGCGAAGATTTGTGGGACAGTCTGACAGGCGCAGGCCGATTGATGACTTCTGCAGCAACATCTGCTGTGAACTCAGTCGCATATGAACTGCCCGGCAGCAAGCAGCGACAGCAGCGCATGGAAGATGAGATCTTCCAAACCGCTGATGCAGCTCTTCTGCTGCACTCGCTTTCTTTTCAGGACTCGATCGGTTCCAGCGGCCACACATCAAACTCAAAAGAGCGCTACCAGAGGTACGTGGTGACAATGCCGTGTGAGGACTTCGATCCTGCTCTAGAGTACTCCACCAAGGAGCTCTGGAGTCGGGTGGTTCTGAAGATGATCCAGTCTGCCTTTCGAAATGGCCTTGCGGATGCGCTGAGCACCCCCGTGCCCAAGCTTACCCTGCGTGGCGAGAGTCGACTCTTCTTGCGAGAAAACTCGAAGATTGATGATTCCGACTGGCTCACATACGGAGCTTCCGTGACTTTGCAAGGTGCATCGGGGGAGGCTTTGGCCAAATGCAGCACCCAAAGCTGGTGGGCGTGCAGCGGTCAATGCGAGCGTTCCGGATTAAGCTGTGTTCCCAAGGACGAAGTTTCCAAAGCCTTCAAGTCTAAACCCTAAACCCTTATAAACCCTGAACCCGAAACCCAAGGACAAAGTTTCCACGAACGGCTTCTGGAGAACTGCGGACCCAACACTGATCTCCACTGTAGCACCTAGCTCGCTGCCGGCCGCAACTCGGCCCTGCTGAAAAGCAAACTTGTTAAGGGTTATAAGGGTCTTGGGTTTAGGGCTAGATAAAGTTGCCATAATGATGGGGATACATAGTCCGTTATGGCATGTTTCCCGTTCCCTTGTAAGCTGGACTTGTCTATATGTATAGGAAGAACCGAGGCCACGGACACCAACGTCTACGGCATCTCCGTGTCCTTCTACTGCGGCGCGAAGAAGTCCTTCAAAGACGACGGCTCTGGGCCGTCCTCGGGGCCCTTGCTGCAGTGCCTCAAGGACTGGCTGTTCAATCCCATGAGGATCGCTTTTGGGTCTATAAAGCTTCAGACTTTATGGCTTGAAACGTCGGATTCAGAGAGGGCTTTGAGGTTGTCATGTTTCGGACTCTGGGTTCTTGGGTATTTAAGTCATCTCGTAGTGCATCGGGGATCATAGAGGATGGAAGGCAGTGCCCGCTGTCTTCAACACCTGCCTGCAGCGTGTATATGTGCGATCGTCTTCACAACAGGGAGTTCCTTCGCAGATGACAGCAGGAGTGTTCCATCGAAGGCGCTACGTCCGACGATGTTGTCTTTTTCAGGGATGCTTTGCATCCGTGGACCCTCAACCTCAATCCACCTAAGTCCTGAACGACCTAGACTTCAAAACCTGTTCTCAAGAAACTGCATCGCACGCAACTATTCGGGATAAGCAGGTGTGCTTTGCTGCCGCCTGCTTATTGGATCCTTTAGTAAGGGGCTTTGGGATCTTCAAGCCCACCTTAGGCCCCAACGTCCCGAGGAGGGCGTGAAAACCAACGCGCATCTCCGAGCAGCATCGCCTTGGAAGCTGTACTTCCCGGACGAGGTGCCCACTTTTGGGGGCTGAAATGCTGGTTCTGGTCACTCTTAGGCTTAGGCATTTCGGGCCAGGGTGGCTATAGACCTATGAGCCCTTATTGCCCTTCGTTCTATCATGGAGCTCCGGGTCGGGTTTGCAGAAGTTTGGAATTTTTGGAGCAGTACACCTCTGGCATTTAGGCAGTTGAGAAGTGTACTAAGTAGATCGAAACTCCCTTACAGCCCTAAGCCCTACAAGCCGTGCCTGCCTTCTGCGATTGTGCGAGTCGAAACCACCATCCCTAAACCGATCCCTGAACTCAAGACCCTGCTAGCCTGCGATATGCTATCCACCAAAAAAGCCGAAAATGTCCCACAATCCTGCACTTGTCGAAGATGTCGGGCGTTGCTTTTTGGATTTCTTGTTGAAGCCACGCATCCCTAAACTAAGCCTCAGCACCCTGTTTTCCTAGAATACTGTATCATATAATCTATATGATATATAGCCTATGGTATATAATGTCATATGATATTTGACAACCTCTTAGCTTGGGCCGGGATCAAGCCGACTTCATCTTTGAGAGACAGCTGAAGAGCTTCGCGGTTTTAGTATTTTTCGTCGAGGCTCTGAGTGTTTGACAAGAGCTTGCCCGACCCTTCCTGCCCCCCATGATGGCCGAGGCGGAAACAACTTCAAGCGGCAACAAGGCCCTGAGACTCCATTTCGCTAAGCACTGAGAAAGCCAAAACACTCATTCCGAAAACTTGTTTCTAGCCAACTGACATGAGCTGAGTCACCCCCCCCCCCCCCTTTCCGAAACCAGTCACAGACCCAAGGTGATGGTCCTCGCAATATTCAGCTCTTTGGAGGAAGCCCAGTGCACCGAAGTGCCCGGTGCTCCTGGCAAGCTCTGCTCGGGAGCCACGAAGGTGCGGAGCAGTTGCGGAGCTTTCGGCTTCTGGGGTGTTTCTAGGCTCGAGGGTGTCAGGGTTTGGGGTTTGGGTCAGGTTTTTTGTCCTGCGAGAGAGAGTGAGAGGGAGAAAGACAGAGAAAGAGATAATAGGTATTACTGTTGGCCCCTCTGTTGCAGTAGGCTTCTGCATGTCTTCAGCCCAATTCCCCGAATTTCGGGGCGAGCGAGCATGGTGATGGTTTAGGAGGGGTGTTTCCGGGGGTCGGGATGTGCACAGGCACTGGGAGGAAAACTTCTTTCCCTCCCCGACTAGGGGCGGAACCGACAGACGCGAGCCTTGAGGGGTAACTGAGGGGTAGGCCTTCGGGCCAGGGTCCCCAGAACCTAGACCCCTTGCAAACAAGCGAGAGAGCGAGGCGAAGATTGAAACGGAACTACTTATGTACTCGAAGCCAGTCGTCAACTTGCTTAACACCCGGAGAAGGCTTGAGACAGACCTTGACATGATCACCAATCAACCCGCTGGTCAAGACGACAAGCTGCCAAGGTGCCGGACCTGGATGCCCACCTGATTCCAGGAATCTCGGCAAACCTTGTCACAGGATTTGCTCATCATGCGCGGATGACCGTCTACAGCAGTGAAGGCAAATCCAAACCAACACAAGCAAGCTTACCGGCATCAAAATCCCAAGCTACAGCGGCCAGCGAAAACAGCAAAGCCCTAATCGGTAAAACCCATCAGCCCAAAAGCTTTAAACCCCATCGCCCTCAACCGTATACTTATAGTTATATAGTTATGAACCCTCAGCCCTAAGTTGCGTTCTCCCACTGAACGCCCAGGAGATAAGAAGTCGACGGATGGCGTCTACCAGGGGACACGCTCGGGATCTGGGTTTCCGAAGGGAACCCCCTACGAGATCACGCTTCGTCCTGAGGATCTCCTGGAAGCCGCTGGCATCCTTCAGCGTCTCTGATGTTTAGGCGTCTAGGGATAATTCTGTTTTTTTGTGGCTCCGGGGTTATTATAGCACCTCCTGGGCCGCTGGGGCCTGCAGATTTTGTATTTGGGGCTCGTCAGCAGGATTGCCATTTCGGGTCCTTGCCACGTTCCGAGGAGTGCGTAGGTGTAGAGCCAGAGCCTATGTCTTTGTTGGATTGCAGTGCCGGCGATGTCCGTAGCAGACAAACTTGCGGGACCGCGTCCTGACTTGGCGGTACACCGGTCCAGCGTCCATGGCGGTTACAAAACGTGGATGATGCCTTCAAACGGTAGCAATGGTGCCTCAGGGCCCGATGAAGGTTGCAACTTGTACCGGTTACATGACACGGGGCTGTAGGTTTTGCACCTGTATAATAAGCATCCAAGTATTGCAATGACCGTTGCTTCTTCCGAAACGTGCCCGGGACCGGCTGCGTAGGACTTGCTTGTATAGATCAAGGCTGTCCGTTGATGGAATCTCCACCATTTCTTGAATTTGCCAGAGAGCCAATGCAGCCTCACAAATTGCAGGATCGCTTCAAAAGGAGCTGGAGCATGCATGTGTTCAGCATGAGTGTCTATCTGTGCCATCTGATTAGTTGGACCTGTGCAAGGGGAGCGTAATTTGCAACAGTCCTGCACTCAGCTGGTCCGTCGAAGGTGCACATCCACACCCGAGACGGCTGCTGCCTGCATGCATGAAGCCAAAAAGCAAGTGTGGCTGCCGCAACACCAGTTTTTCTCTGTCCCATTTCGAACTTGTAGCACATGTCTGCTCAGAACATAAAGGGTACATCTGGGTACGCACTGCTTACCCCCCTAAACTTCCGTGTAAAGAGGAAGGTCTTCGCAGGTTTGGTGTCTTGGGCCAAAGGGTCCTGGTACACTGCGGGATACTTGCGATGAGGAGCCTTCGGGCCGATTTTACGTCTTTAAGTGAACTTAGTGTGGGCTGAGCTTGAGACAAATCGTTGAACTTGTAGCTCAGGGCTCTGCTGCTGAGAAACGGTGGCAAAGTCCAGTGCGACTCGGGTTGTTTGGATGCTTTAGCTGCTTTGGTTACATTTGGGCAGCAGACATGCTAATCGCATCAGTGCTGCTGTGGTTCGTGCTACACGCATGTGTGGACGCATGCATGGTTGAATGTATGTGTGCATGCATTCACGCATGGTTGAGTGCATATCTGCATGCATGGATGTATGTATGTACGTATAATTACGTGTATATACACACATAGACAACAAATAAAACAAAACAATGTGTGTGTGTGTTTGTGTATGCATGCATGTACTTATGCATGCATGTATGCATGCACATATGTTTGTGCTTCAAGGTGTGGTTGTGCGCACTTACAGTAACTTACGGTACAATGCCAGCAGCGCTAGGGACACAGCCTCAAGCTACGAAGCACATGCCAGCCTTTTGTTTTAAAGGTGGCAGCTTGAGTTTAGGAGACAGCGGGGGCGCAAGCCTGGGCTAGGACACGTCGGGACAACCACACACAAAAGGCGAAGCCAGCTTACTACACTTTGCATGTGGACACATGTCCATTATCAGCCAGATGCCAGCTTACATCCAACAGCGGGAAGATTGAAGTAACCAAGTCTTCATGCGCCGAGTGCTCCAGCGCTTTGCACGGGACGCCGGCTCTCGGGCCAATACTTTGGCTCGTGCGAAAGAGGCGTGGCACGCGTGGATCCTTCGCCTGCCAGCACATGCCATCCCCAATGCTGAGTTCTACGTGGGGTTTTGTACGAATTATCCTGGTCCTTCGCTTGCCTTGCGAGGCGCCTGTAGCGCCTCTCCAAAGCAATGCCAAAGAGTTGGGGAAGGTGACGACAGGCGAGGAGGGCCAGTGCAACTCGGAGCTTTGGCAGGTATAGGAAGGCTTCCCTGGGAGCCAGGAACAGTTGTTTACGATCAAGATTTGTTGACAGATCGACCTACCGGTTGAAACGTCGAAAGACTGTTGCTGACGACTAAATTTGAGATGAGAGGGCGTCGTCACCTGGGTCGGCAAGTTAAGCGACTGTCGTTGGTACCTTCCTGCGTTCGATTATGCTGATTCGGCCTCTTGGGGTTTGAGCTGACGTTCTTCCAGACCTAGGCTTCGTCTCTCAAGTTCTTTGCCGGTGGCATCCTGGTTGTAACTTGCGTTATGTTGTTCTTGTGACTTGTTTCTCCCCGGTGACTTGTTTTCCGTGGTCCTGAGAGTCAACAGCTGACTCACTTATGCTAAGGCTCTAAGGACTCATATTTTAAGGCTTTTGGGCCTAAATTTTCATACTATATAAGGCTTTTTAAATTTGGAGCCTTAGGGTTACTACAAAAGCTTCCGCAGAAAGACGAAGCGTCACTACGCAAGAATACAGTTGCTAGCAGTATCCTGTTTGGCGTTACTACCGGGCGTGTGAAGTATAGCAAGCACTACGAATAGGTGTTGCTTGCGGAGGTTTCGAGGGTTTCGTTCAAGCCGTCAAAGTTCTGGACCAACGTAAATCCAAGATCACAAGCAGCAAACACTTTATAGAAGATCCGTTAAACCGCAGTAGGAGATGATAAGTGGCAGGCCCGAAACTGCGCAGGAACCAACCCGAAAGCACCACTCGCGAGGACAACAAAACTGCGTAGCGACAGGGCGAACTAATACAGGGGCCTTAATAATTTCATACTGTTATTATAATAATGAGCCCCCCAAGAAAATAATTTAGGCACCTACATAGAAGGCACGAGTCGGTCTTGAGTCTGCTGTTGAGTCATTCCTTCCTCAAGACCAAAAGCAGACATGACGTGTAAGACGTTCCCAGAGAGGAATATGCTAGGGGGCCTTACTATTATAATTTAAGGTATTCCTTAATTAAGGGGTATGGGGCTCTCTGGGCTCAATATTCACAACTAAGGGTAACTAATGCGTTCTCTACAAGCAGGGGAGAAGTCAGGAACATGAGAGCATAGAGCAAGCGTGCTCCCGCTCTCTGCCCCGAACAAAGCCCCCTCGTGCTCTATGTCCAAGAAGAGTCTGAGCTTTGCAGGCATCGGAAACGATTTGAGTTCCTTTGCCACGGGGGTGCACCTCGGCCTTTTTGCCTGGAGATTCTGATTCAATCTGCAATGTGTTCAACATATTTCCAGCTTTGAGCACAGCATGTAACGAGTTCTTGTAAGGCTGATAAGCTGTTTGCTCAGCCTGCTCAGCATGTCGCGAGGCGAGCTGCAGCTGTTGCTGTTGCTTCATGTTTGCCTGAGGAGCTCGGGTGTCCTCAAGGGCAGCGGAACTGGCACAGCATACGCACCGACTTCGCCGATCCTGTCCCAGGTTGCGAAGGGGAGGTAAACATGTTCATCGTGTTATCCCGTCAGTTGCCTAGGCCCGAAACCCGAGAAGCTCGAGCTAGGCTCTGTAGGTCAGACGGCATGAGGCGGGACCTTTCTTGTAAATCCATTTCGTCCTACATCGTTGTCCTTCAGACAAGATGCTCCTAACCCCCTCTGATAAGTTCACTCAACCTCCGAAGCTGCAAACTGTGAACCCCTCAAGTCCTTCAAACGACCGATCAATCTCGCTCGAGACAGGTGATCCAGAGCCCCACGCCAAAGCCGGCTTCACATGCTCCAGCTGCAACTGCCACTGCACCCGCGCCGGCGATGGCGCGCAGTACCCCGGGTTAGTGTATGTTTAGTTTACAGTTGAGTTGAAGGTTTACAGTATACAACATCCAATTGCGATGGGACTTCAAAGTTCAGTAGTCAGTTGGTGCCTGGCGCTCAGCAGTCAAAGCGAAGTACCCAGAACGCTAGCAATATTTAATACCAGCAATACTGACAGCACTCACCACAGCAGGGAGCTTTGGACGAAAGATCCGTCGCAGGTGTCCCTCAGTTGAGGAACCCATTCCTAAAGAACCCGCTTAGAAATAAATAAGGCCTATTGCTTAGAATAGAGTTTTCGGGATTCGCAGGTCTCCAGGCCCTTAGGGCCGTCAGCGTCGACCTTAATTCCGGACCAGTTTTGGTTCTTTAAAACAATATCGGGTTTAGCCGTAGAGCATGAGTGCTGACCAAAGCCTGAGGCATCTAAATCGATCGTGTCCTTTATCGCGCGACATCCATTCCTTCCCCAGCAGCAATTTTAAATGGCCTTTTGTCCGGCGCAGAGCTTTCATCAGCGGGGCGGTTTTCCAATGTTCAGAGGCGGTGAGGATTTTTCTTTCGGTTCCCTACTTGCACATGTCAATGTGAAGCCTTTCGAACTTTTACAATTCAACCCTAGCCGTAGCCTCGAAGCCTGTACTTTTTGGCTGGTCTAGGTCAGTCTCTGGAGGAACTGCGACAGCGGTCCACCAGCGTCTCAGTCAGATCATGGAGTATCCTGTTTGGGGGAGCTTAGGGTATCCGGAATCCGGCTTGCTTTCGAAGCAACTGTATGTCTGTGAGCTTCGAGTGCGAGTGCTACAAATCTTTGTTCGCAGTACTGTGTTTATGGACGGTTCCCACAAGTCAACCTGCAAGTTGCTTGCACACTTCCATGGTTGTGATGGCGATGACGACGACGACGATTATTGTGATGATGATGATGATGGTGGTGGTGATGGTGGTGATGCTGGTAGTGGGGATGGTGTTGGGAGTGACGACCGACTGCAGCGGTGGTCGTGATGATTGTGTTTTCTGCGGCGGCAGTTGTTTGTTGGTGGTGGTGGTGGTGGCGGCGGGGGTGGTGGTGGTGGTGGTGGTGGTGGCGGCGGCGGCGGCGGCGCTGCTGCTGCTGCTGCTGCTGATGCTGCTGGTGGCGCTGGTGCACCAAATAAGGATATGACTTCAACAAGGATGATTCGCATCTTCATTAGTCTGCAAATGCTAGCGGTAAGTAAGATTTGCTACTTTGCTGTTTCTGCTGCGGTCAGGACAGCACTTCAACAGCCACGTTTTTTTGGCCAATAGCGGAACACTATGGCAAGCCGTCGCTGTCAGTGGTGCCTGTCACTCCCTGGACAGCAG